GCTAAAATAAGAGTAATGTGGTCATATTTCTTTGTTCTGGTTAAAAGCCTGGCAGCTGAGTTCTGGATAGTCTGGAGTCGATCAATAGATTTTTGGGTTAAACAGGTGAAAAGGCTGTTGCAATAATCCAGGCGTGATGAGATGAAGGTGTGTAAAATGGTCTCGGTGTTCTTAAAAGTTAACATAGAAATACAGCAAAAATTCGATCTAAGTTGATAAAAACATGATTGAACAAGCTTTGTGGTGTGCTGCTCGAAATTTAAATTACTATCAAACCAAACACCAAGGTTCTTTGCCACAGGCTTAATGTGATTTACTAGGGAACCAGCAGATGGCAGTATCTGCCATCTGCTGGGACCTGATGACCAGGATTTCTGTTTTGTCTGAGTTCAGCTGGAGGAAATTATTTGACATCCATTTTTTAACTTCACAAAAGGCAGTTGTTAAGTGAACTCAGCATTCCAGGGTCTGTGGATCTGACGGGCAAGCATATTTGTGTGTCATCAACATAAATATGAAAAGAAATGCCATGTTTATGGATAATGTGTCCAAGGGGAAGCAGATATAAGGAAAACAAAATGGGTCCTAAGACCGACCCCTGAGGCACACCATATTTAACTGGACAGAACAAAGAGACATAGTTGTTTACAGACACGCAAAACTTCCTATTTGACAGGTTGGATGAAAACCATTCTAGGGCAGTACCAGAGATCCCACCCAGTGCCTCAGTCTGTCTAACATGATGTTGTGATCAATGGTGTCAAAAGCAGCGCTAAGGTCCAGGAGTACCAGGACTGAGCACATACCTTCATCAGCAGACATTAAAAGGTCATTGGTGACTTTAAGCAGGGCAGTCTCAGTGCTGTGGTACTTCCTGAAACCAGATTGAAACTTTTCAAATATTTTGTTATTTTCCAGTACAGTGAGCAGCTGTTTGGACACAATTCTTTCTAGAATCTTTGCAATAAAAGGCAGTTTTGAAATTGGTCTAAAATTATGTGGGAGGGAGGGATGTAAACCAGGTTTCTTTAAAAGTTGGTTCACGCAAGCCGTTTTAAAATAATCAGGGACACAACCAGTAGATAGGGAGCTGTTGAAAACAGAGATCAAATGGGGCCCAACAGAATCTATTAGTTTCAGTAAAAACTTTGTAGGTATTACATCAAGTTGGCTGGAGGACACTCATTTGTGATACTGTTTTTAAAAGCTCAAACAAGTCGATGGGATAAAACTGGTTAAAACTCTCTTGTTGCTGGTGAGGAACCTCTGAGTAAGAGGCCGCGAGGGTAATAGAGGCTCTGATTGACACCACCTTATTGGTAAAATAACATAAAAACAATTCACAGTCATCATTACTTCCAGCTGAGGCACAAGGAGGGGGGTTGGGTTTACCAGCTGATCCACAGTCTTAAACAGAAATCTGGGATTGTGTTTATGTGTAGTAATGAGTTCAGAAAAATAATGTGTTCTCGCATCCTTAACCAAGTTATTGTAGTTAATTAATAAATCCTTCAGACTGAGGTAATGGACTTGGAGACTGGATTTTTTCCATCTGCGCTCTGCTTTCCTGCATTTTAGGCTGCGAATGCTGTCATTTATCCAGGGTTGCTTACTAGCTTTAGACGTAGGCCTAACCTTTAGAGGAGCAGTAATATTTAGTGACGACAAGCAGATATGATTGAAGTGATCGACCAGATTGTTGGTGTTGGAATCAGACAGGTGTTGGCTTTGGCTCTGAAAGAATGCGCAAAACTTTGAAATACTTTGTTCATTAAAGATGCGAGAACACACGGAGCCTGGTGAGGCGGCATGGTGAGTAACAGGCGAATCGCAGCTAAAAACAATACATCTGTGGTCAGATATGGTCATGTCCACTAATTCCACAGAGGAAATGCTGACACACAGGGTAAAAACCAAGTCCAGTGTATGACCACGGTTATGGGTTTGCCCTTTGACATGTTGTTTGAAGTTAAAAGAAGTGGCCATATTTAAAAAGTCAGCTGCATTAACATTGGTGGGGTCATCAACACGAATATTAAAATCGCCACAAAGAACAATTCTGTCATAATTTAAAACCAGAGTAGATAAAATTTCAGGAAGTTCTGATAAAAATCCTCCAGGCGGTTTTGGGGGGCGATAAATTATAACAAATATGATAGGTTGCAGCCCTCCAAGTTTAAGAGTGAGAACTTCAAAGGAGTTAAATTCATCACAGTGTACTTGATGACATTTGAAATTTTTCCTATACACGCTCACTAGCCCACCACCACGACCACTGACCCTCGGTTGACTAAAACAATCATATTGAGGCGGACACAGTTCAGCTAGCTGGCTATAGTCATTCATTTGCAGCCATGATTCAGTTAAAAACATAAAATCTAGATTTGCAGACAAGATAAAATCATTTAAGATAAAAGTCTTACTTGACAGAGATCTCACACTGAAGAGAGCCATTTTAAATGAGTTTGTTCTAGGTGCTGGAGTTGGTGCAGTTGTCCTAATCCTTAAGAGATTACTATTATTTCTGTGTGGGATGTGCACATTTCGGTTTACTGGTCTATGCGTGATGATGACAGGAATAGAAGTCTTTGGAACAACGCTGGGAGCAGACATGCCAGCAGTTGGAGACAGTTGTTTGTGGCAGTGAGGCAGAGATCTGTTCAGTGACCGGTGGTGTGTCCAGGTGTGCTGCATGAATGATTAGTCATTCACGTAAGTCATGTGTGGACCGCACCACATGCTGTATGTGAGCAACTAACATTTCTGAGCCGTTTGTTTGGGTGAAGTCTGTCTTAAAAAGAGGCATTCTTTGCCAGAAAATATTAAAATTATCCACATAACACACACAATGAGCCCTGCAGGCGGACTGGAGCCAGTCATGGAGCCCAAGGAGTCTATTGAAGCGGCCAGCACCGCGACCAACTGTGGGAATGGGACCAGAGATAAAAACGGACTTTCCACACTCCTTTAAAAAGTTAAAAAGACGGTTAAAATCAGATTTTTGTCAGCTCAGACTGCTGAAGAGCTTTGTCATTTGTTCCGACATGGAATATCACTCTTGTGATGAAGGACGGGATCGATGGCATCAGGTCCTGGAGTTTTTTTAAAATGTCAGCTGTGGTGGCACCGGGGAAGCAGTGAGTGGTAGCGTTAAAGAAACGGATGTTTTTGGTTATGGAGTCACCAATTATTAGCGTGGATGGGGAGAAAAGAGGACGAGGAGATGCCGGTTGTGGGGTTCCAGAGCAGGACTGAGCAGAATCTGCTTCAACACTGCGTGCGGACTGAGGATGGAGTGCATGAGCTGCCGAGTGTTGTGTTGGATTAGCAGTAACATACCTGAGAGAAGGGCTACCCGACGGTGCAGGGTAGAGACGGCCTCCGGAGCGTCTGAGCACAGCCTCCTTCAGGATCCTATGTCGGGAAGCGGAGGTTTTTTACCGGGATGACGGCCACCGATCAGGCCCAGCGGCAGACCGGCGGCCCAGTGCAGGAGATGTAGCCGGTGGAGGAGATGCAATAGTGTCGGCAGGCACTGTCCGCCGAAAGAGATCCGCATCAGGGAGACTCGAAGCCGCAGGTGCATCCAGCACTTTGTAACTTGTTTTTGAAAAGTGCTCTACAAATAAAGATTATTATTATCATCATCCGCTGGACGGACCCGGAGTGTTGTCAGACAGGGCTGCATAGCGGTTGGAGAGGCCGATGTGCGTAGGAGAGGTAGCCCCATCCGAGCCTCTCTTGCAGCCACGGACCACCACTTCAGCCCAGGTTGACTGATGCTTCGGAGTCGAGCAGGAGGAAATCCTGGGAAGGATAGAGGGGTCCCATAACACGGTGTCCTGGATGTTGGCGGTTGCTCTAAGAGAAACTGTTTGGCTTGTACTGAAGCCACATCCATAAAGCCAGTCAGCAGGGAATCTTTCTCTTTGAGTTCCTCTGAAAGTCGTTGGATGTCTTCCATAAGGTCAGCAATCTTCTTGTTTGCTTTCTTAAGGAGTGAGCAATCCTCATGGGGCAGAGTTATCTCGGCTAGCATAACGTTAGTCGCCGGAGCTTTGTTGTGATCAGTAGCTTTGATAGCGTTTTTACGGTCATCTAGATTAAAATCCATGTCGGATGACTAAAATCCTTGACCCACGTAAAACTTAAGTTAAATAAAAAGGATATAAAAATGTAACGAAAAAGTGTGATCTTAACTGTAGCACTTTGAGATTTGTTTCAAATGTAAAGTGCATTACAAATAAAATTTATTATTGTTATTATATTATTTTAAACTGTGATCGTGGCTTATTTGGTATGATACAAGGGGCAACTTTTTGAGCAATGTTGCTGGGCAATCTTGCTGGTGGCAAGTCCGACTATGTTTTGAACGGATAGCGGTGGTGCGGGGAGGGTGGTGGAGTGATGGGGGAAGGGGATTACGGTAGTAATCTTTACTCACTACCATTGACGGCAACATTGTCCAGCACCATTGCTCTAAAAGTTGCTCCGTGTATCATCAGCTTTAAGCTGTAGTCATCAACAATTGCACATACAATGCAAAACCTTCTCTCTCTGCTGCTCATGTGACTCCACTAAGCCCCACCCCACCAAACCCACAAGAAAGAGTTTGCCATGCAAAACCTCATCCTCCATATGGCTCGCTCTCCACAGGGAAAGTCTTGCCAGGACCCCAACCATTCTCGCTTCAACTCATCTTCTCATTTGTTGTAATTTCCACAATGTTATCAATTGTTGCAAGAATATATTATTTTAAATGGGGTTGCGGGCATGACATTTTCTCTGCTTCCAAAAAGGGGACATTGTGATGGACAAAGTTTGAGAATCACTGGGCTACTCTCTGTCCCTGCTACTAAGCAGGACCATAACAGAGCAGCAAGGCTGTAATGTAAACACATGACTGACCCAGGCCCATGGAAATACATGGTTGAACCCTAGCAGATCAAAACATGAAGAAATTGAGCCATTTATGTGTAGTTTCTCTAATTATATCTCACCTCAGCCAGATTCTGGGCCCCTGGCATTCCTCCAGGCAGAAGCACTACATCATATGGGCCCTGGGATGCAAACCATGACAGATCAAGAATCAATCAAGGAATCCAGATAATTTATTTGTCATTTTACAGCAGGGGGTTGAACAAACTAATTGTAAGTTGAAGCCATGGATATAGCTATTAATTCCATATGGTTGTAGCCACTTAATGCTACAGTACACACACATTGCACATATATGCAAATATTTTAATTTCAATTAAAAAAAAGAATAAATACAGATTAAAGGAGACTGCAAGGTTTTAAATTGCAGAATACCTAAATGCCAAAATAGTTTGATTAATAGAGCTAATAAAAAAATACAAAATACGGCTTTGACTGCTTTATGCTACCGTTTTAACATGTAATAATTACAGTGTTAGTAGATGGATACTTAGCCCAACCTGTTTGCTGGCATCCTCTAGGCTAGCATCAGGACAAATGACGACGTTTCTGCTGCACTGGACTGGCTCTTTGCCCGTTAGTCCTGCGACCGTCACTGCAATCTACAGGTTTGGGCAGGTAATATGAAAAGTACAGCATTAGCATAATGACACGGCACGGCATCCTGTCTGTATATGGCTGAAGGGAACTTTTATTTTGAAAGCTATCAAATGGCGGAGAGGTGCGTCTACGGTGGACTTTGACATTTAACTTAGACCCTGTTTGCGCTTGCTTTAAAGGTTGAGAGAGCGTCAATAGTTAACAGCTTATTAGCTATAGCTTAACGTAATAGTTTATTATTATTACATTCACACAACGAACGTTAAAGCAGTGTTTGTGACTCTAATGCTCCTAGTTGGGCAAAGTTAGCAGGTTCATTTATGTTCATGTTAGCTAACTTAATGTTAACGCTGCCCTTTACAAATGTCGCCTAATGTTACGCTGTAATTTCCATCATTACCACAGTGGCAGTATTTCTTGACAAATCCTAATATTGTTGTGGACTCACTGAAAGGGTGACAAACGTCTTAAAAATTCAGGCTAGCTGGCTAACTTTAATGATGTTGGTCAGTGGCTTTTTTTAGCTAGCTAACATACAAGCCTGCAGACGTGTTACAAACCCCAGCTCTACGCATGATGTCCACAGGAATAACCGTTTCCATCTCCTCTGCGCCTTTAGACAGGATTACTAACGCCCTCTTGCCTGCCATGGTTAGCTTGCAGTTATGCTACTGCCAAGTGCAAAGACGCTAACTTCAATGTGCAACTGGCAAGCTCCGCAGTGAGGTTTTGACAGGAGAAATGTTGCCAGGCTGGGTCCCTCTATCCCCCTTTCTAAAAGGGTGCTTCAAGTACCAATACCACATTGTGAAATACTCCACTACACGTGAAAGTCCTGCATTTAAAGCCTTACTTAATTATGTATGTAAGTATTATCAGCAAATTGTACTTAAAGTATCAAAAGTAAAATAACTCATTCTGCAGAAAAATGGGTCTTGTCATTGTTTTATTATGTTTTTGGATTAAAATTACTGGTGTATTAATGTGCATGCTGCATTTTACTCCTGTATAGGTAAAGGGATCATGTGTAGAGCTGGTTTGACACTCAGTCCTTCAGTTTATTAGGATTTAAATTCAAAATCACCAAATTTGGAGATACATGGTTTTTCGCTGGACAGGAATGATATGAAAAATGAAATCTGAAAAGTGACTAGTAATTAAAGCTGTCAGACAAATATAGTAAAGTGAAAAGTACAATATTTAACTATAAAGTTGCATAGAATGGAAATACTCAAGTAAAGCACAAGTACCTCAAATTTGTTCTTAAGTATTGTACTTGAGTAAATACATTTCATCACTGTGTACATCAATAACAACAAACACGTCAAGTATGATCCCTTGCCTAAATAGTGTCAAAGCTTAAACCAGTTTATGAACCGAAGAGACATGAATTGCAAAACAAATACAACAAATTTACACCTGCACTTACCAGAACAGAAAACAAATCAAATGTGCTTCTGCCCTCTGCAGGGAGATAATAAAGTTCAGCCATCCAGCTGAAATGGTCTGTTTGAGATCGTTAGGTTGAATATGCACTGTGATCTAGTGATGTTTTGCAAATAAATGCCTTTTAACCAAAATAATATTTTTTGAGTGAACTTCATAAATCCTGGACAAACACCAACTAAATTAAACATGGCTAATATATGCTTTCCAGGGGACTATGATTATTTGAATGATTATTAACTCATTGATACAAATAAGAATGATAATACATTATATAAGGAAAACATACCATGTCAATTTTAGTGTTTTAATTTCAGTGCATTTTAATAAACCATAAACAAGGGATATCAGCATAATCAGCATCTCTACAAGCTACCACTAGACAGCTTGCAGTCTAAAAATGGTGCCATTAAGATCACCCAGATAAGATAAAAAGATTTTTATTATCACTTTGTGGTATATCACTTGAAACAGAAGGTTTTCCAGCCAGTCAGTGATAGTTAAGCTACAAGCAGGCATCAGGGCAAGGTGGCATGTGGCATGTTTAATAACAGACAGTACATCCTTTCTTCCAGTAGGTGGAGCCATTAACTAAATATTCTGGATGGGATGTCAAAGGAAGTTTGAGAAAGAAGTTTATACCTTATCCAGTGATGTCCACCACTGTCTTGAATACAAAGGACAAATGTTACTTGGGCATTTTGGAGACACCAAAAATCCATTGTACCCTGCCAGTTAATCATAGGCTTATCGTCAGATGTAAGGTGCAATTCAAAGAGCTAATTCAGGAATGTGATGAATATGGTTTTGCACGAGGCGACAGGTCACCAAGTTCGCCAAGTTCTTCAAGATCTCTCTGAGAACTTCTGCACCAAAACTCTTAAGACATTTAGGGAATCATATTCCAGTGTAAATCCTAGACTTAACGTCTGGGGCTTTAGTGTGCAGGCACCCATCCTAGTTAATGTGCCTCTGTGCATTCAGCTGCTGAGATTCACTTTCATATTTGTGCGACAAACCAGAGCCCAGTGAAACGGCAGATTAGACAAAAGCGTAGGGGGTGCTGGCAGCAGGTTGTTTATTGCGTGCCTGTGAGTGAATCCAAGAGGCAGCGGTGATTACCAACATATGCAGCTGGGGATCAACTGAACCAGACCCACGGTGGCACTCGAGCTAATTTCCATACATTAATTCACTTATGTACATTTGCTAATTCCTTTCAGTAAGTAATCATAAGGTACATGATCACACTGAGGAAATGTTTCAAAGTGACAGTGTAGCGACTTATTAGTGGGTCTGACTTAGAACTGACAAATATAATGATATAACTGTTTGCACAGGGCTTCAACTTCTCATCTCAAGGAAGGTTAAAATCTTTACACTTAGATTGTTTATTCAGTACAGAAGAGATTTTAAAAAATGCCTGGAAAATTGATGAAAACGCAATAGACAATAAGACTGGCAATTGTCTATATTTTTATTATGGTCAACAAATCCAATGAAAAGACAAAACTCATCAATAAATGGATCCTATTACAAGGACTGTCTTTGTAGTTAACCTGATATAGGTTATTCCTTTGTGCCATAGATGACCGTTGTTTCCCCCCCCCAAAAAACATACTGTATGTGAGCCACACCCTTGTACTAAATTAAATGTTCCTTTATCACAATGAAGTAATTTATTTAGTCAGCCACACACACGGTCCTGCTGCAGTAATACTCACTAGCACATATTAATCCACAGCTGAAAATAGTCCACAATAAATGCCCTGTTTTCTCCTGTTTCAGTAACATTAGCTAAAAACAAACAAGTGTCCAGCTCTTTTAGAAAATTACTTATTGTTTTTTAAATGAAACTATATATATTTGTGGCCTGTTTTAATAGTTTTACGTCTTCAGTAGGGAACAATGGGCTTGGGCCCTGAGAGCCACAGACAGGAAAGAGTGAAAGTATTGAGAACACATTTGGTTTCGGTCTTTTTACAATATTCATTAACAAACCAAAAAATATAAAATAACGCCAAATGGATCCTTTTAAAAGTCTTAAACCACAGACTGTATATAAAAAGGGTCTTAAACACTGCAGCATGATTAGGAAAATGGCTGTAAAAGCATGCATAGTTTGTATATGAACAATATAAACAAACTGGTAGAAATGATAATTCAGTGCATGCTGTACAGTATGTATGTTCTTCGGATATGTGAGATTTGCCTGTGAAGTAAAAAGGGTGTGCGTCAGTAGCGCGTATTATTATTTCTCCTGTGCTCCCTCATGCCTGCACCACTAGGCCTTGCTCTGCTTTATCTGGCCCTTCACAGAGGTCTGCTTGAAAACCTGAAGGGCTTCTGGAATGAAACCTCTGGGGAGACGAGAATACAGAAACTTTTTTTTTATAAGACAGGGGACAGAGGGGGGAAAAAAATCCTCAAACAGAAATGAGGGAATTCCACAAATTACCATTTGTCACAAAGTAATCCTGTTACTATTGCAAAGAATATGGAGCGGTGTAAACATGGAAATAGACTGCTAATATGGATGTAGCTTACAAGCAAAAGCTCTGTTCAGTTGAGATATACAGCTCCAAACCCTGTTTCAGATCCCCACTAAGGAAGAGTGCCACAAAATTTAAAGTGGTTACAGAAATGTTTTTTTTTTTCTACGGGGAGAGATTAAAAATTTCAGATGTTTTTCTTTATTTATTCTTTGCATTGCTACACAGTAACTCATTTTGGTCTAACCCTTGTGCTAACCGGTTTCTCTCGCGGTGATCTAATGGCAGCATTCAGGGCTTACATTGCTGCAGTCAGAAAACTGATGAATATTTAGAAGCATTTTATCTTCCCATCTGTGCACAGGCTTTATCTTGTGTCTGTTTCACACATTGTAAGCCACTGAGTGCATGTAGTGACTGACAAGCATATAATCTTGATTGCATCTTGATGCTATTACCTTATGCTGCCAAGCGCTCAGGTGACAGCTGGGGGACAGTGAGGAGATCTGGGGAGAAAAGGTGACATTGAATTTTATGCACCTGTGTCGGCAGATGGCAGCTCCATACAGACACAAGATGGCGCCAGTTGAGTGAGTTCAACTGTGAGTAGGACATTTCACAAGGAAGAACAACTGTGTGAGAATATTTTCAACAATAATCTCTGTAAATAACAAAAAGAAAATAAAACAAAACAAAAGTTGGCTTTGTAAGGCTACAACAAAGGCAATCCCCTTTGTCAAATCATCAAATATTTTCAGATATAGTATAGATATTGCTAACTAAACAGATAAACTGAACAAATATACTTTTGGATGTATGTCTCAACATCCATTAAACAATTTGCGTTAAATGCTTTGGAATTATCCAAAATGAGATTCCTACAAAATCAACGCATGACAAATTGTTTTCAACTACAGAGGCAGTATTACAAATTAAGGCAGCACATTAATGTGTTGTTTAGATTATTGAGTGTGTAACAACATGAACCAGAATTGCCTCACAGTCATTTCTGCTTGCAATAATCTGCCTATCCTCAAATTATGCCCCCACCCGTACTATTTTAAGGGGTGGGGGGGGAGTGGGGGGATGGGCAAAAGTGACTCTCCTTTTTCTTTATTCTCACTCTCTTTCTCAGTGAGTATCGGTCTGTTTTGCTCTCAGTTTGCCTCTATTAGATGCCTTAATGCTGTACAGCGTGGCCTATCTTCAAACAAGAATGCTGGTGATACTGGCCCTGCAGCGGTGTCCCCCCCCTCACTGCCGCCCCCAGCCCCGGCCTGCTCCTCTACACAGAGGGCAATAAAGACACAAGGAGGATTAGTGTTGTGTGCCTAACAAAGTGGTTGCCAGAGAGTGAGAGGGCCATGCCCATGGGCTCAACCACAACCCTGCTCAGCTCCACACGGCTCTATCGTGGTCCCCCCCTGCTTGGGCTTCCCTAAGGTCCGCTCTCTCTCAGGGAGCTCTGTGAATGTGTGATAGACTCTGAGTGGGTGAATTCATGTTGATGCTAAAGAGGCAGAGGACGCAGACAGATAATCCATGGCTTAAGCAGTGCTGTAGTAACTTTCCCCCTTAAACAAGGGAACATGTGTGCAAACAGTTAAATTTAATTCAATCACATACTCTCACTGTGCATATTTATGCGCTGAAGACTTTCCCACAGTGAACCACAGTGAAGCTTAGAACTCCGGTTCTCTGACTGGGAGGTGCTTGAAAATTACCATCAAAAAACCCACAATCATGTAGTTTAGCCTACACAGCAACCTGATGCCGCAATA